TGCGCGCGAAAATTCATTCGGGCCATTAAAAAACGTTCTTCTCGTATATGTAGAAACGATAGAAAAACAACTACGAGACACTGACACATTTGATGTATTGGAGCAAACGTAAAAGTTGTTTACCGTTGGGATATACGCTTCTCTCATCAAGAGGACTAACGAAATATTGAGATGTATTTAATAATTTATATATATATATATATATATATGTGTTTAAAAGGATAGATTGAACAGAGGAAATGTAAAAGTGTGAAAGAAATATAAAACATATAAAAAAAAAAATTAACGCTTAAAAATTCATCTACCGAAAGAGTGGGAGGACAGTGGGAGGGGGTGGGGGGAGATTATCGGACACGAGTGAGATAGGAAAACTTTCAAATTAGTCGAGTAAAAAGGTATATTACTATACGAGATAGTATGGGATGAGGATGAGAAAAAGAAAAAGAAAAAGAGAAGGTGATATAGGAAGAGGAGAAGAGAACAAGAGGAGAACTTGTTGCGTGTTGGTACCTTGTTAACTAGTCTAAACACATTCACACATACATATACACGTATACATATATATCCATACACGTAGGTATGATTTATCACATACGTTACATCAGAGCAATTGAATTTTGCAAAAGTAAGTTCTTTTAAAAAAAAAAAAACAAAAACAAAATTTATCTTTCTCGTACAGTGTTTCCTAACGTTTCCCCTCTTAACTTTTTCTATGGAACGCGTACTCTATTGGAGTTTAGTAGATATAGATGAGGAATAATACATACATACTACATACTTCCTCTTCTATGCTCGAATAGAAAAATCCTTTAGTGAAAAGACGACGGATGCGCATTTGGGACGACTACTAGTGGCAAAGTACTTATCGTCGCTTCGAACAAATTCACGACTACCATTCTAATGATTAACAATTGTTCTTTTATATATATATATATATACACACACACACACATGTATATACATATCCTATGCAACTCTACCTATCTATGCATGTATTTTAATACCTCGATGAAACAATGGCACAGTAGAGGGATATAACCTTCGTTTAAAAAAAAATATACTAATGGTTTGAAATAAAAAAAAAGAAAAAAATCCAATTACACTTGAGAATTAGGATTTTTCTTTTTTCTCTTTCGATTATTTATATTTTATTATATCATTATTATAATAATTATTATTATTATTATTATTACTGTATACGATATAGTTTAGGAGTAATATTATCTAACGTGAGGAACGTTTAATGTTACGAAAGTTAAAAAGAAAAAAAATGCGAAAGGTAAAGAAAATATGAATAAGAATTACCATGTGATTGTTTTTTTTTTTTTCATTTTTCATTTTTCTTTCGTACTTTCTCTCTCTCTCTCTCTCTTTCTTTTTTAATTCATTCTGAAATAGCATTTTGTTGAAATGAAGAACGTGGGAGAGAGAAAGATAGAGAAAGTTACGTACTACAGTACTATGCTTCGATTCCGTCACTCTGACGCAAACGCATCCTTCACGCAACTACCAATGAATGACGGAATCGAAGATGTACAACTATTGTGCCGATTTTCTCTCTCTCTCTCTCTCTCTCTTTTTTTTGCAGTCTATATATAATATCTTTTATTTCTTTGAATTTCTCACGTCAGATCATAAAATAATGAATCATCGTAAACTAGGAGAACTGGGATTACAATAAATTATCTGACTGAACGAAAAGAAATATGATTTTTTTTTTCTGTTACAAAGTATTAAGATAAAGATGCATTTTTTTTGTTTTTTTTTTTTTATTTCATTTCTACAGATCGCAAACATTGTTATAAAAAGAACAATTGAACCCAACGAAGAATATTAGAAAAAAAAGAAAATCGATGAGAGAGAGTAAGTCAAATACGATAGAACCTGAAAAATATGTTTAGTTTAAACATTTTTTAAACGAATGCAAATCTCATTGGAAATATATTTAATAATAGAAAATAGTGTATCTCGCGATAGTTTGAATTGAGTATCACGTTACTCCCGTTTCATAGATCGTTTGATATCGGGCGTATTCGAATAAAGAAGGTTTCCTCATTTTTTTTTTATTTCTTAAGGAAGAACCAACTGTCAAACTGTCAAGTCGTCGTTGTCGTCATCGTAATAATCGTCATCATAATCGTCATTCTCATTGGCGTTTACCGACTCATCGCAAACGGAAACGCCTGCTTCGGCTTGCCAAAGGTGTACGCCGGCCTAGAATGAGTGAGTGAGAGAGAGAGAGAAAGCATTGCGTGCTCGATGACAGATCCATCGTGCCAAGAACAACGTGAAGAAAGAGGACAGAATAAGATAAGCTGATAGATTTAATGGGGTATTTAAAAGATGTTCAAAGTTAAGACAGGAAAGAGACAGCAAATATTTCAATTGACTTTCTTTCTCCCTCTCTCTCTCTTTCTCACTCTCTCTTTTTTCTTCTGACTGTCTGTCTTTCTCTTATTCGTTGGTTCTCACTTTTGACTTTTTCTCTCCCTCTCTCTCTTTCTCTATCTTTCTTTCTCTTTCTCTAACTTCTTTTACTGATCGTCTATCTTTCTCTTATTCGTTAGGTCCCATTCTTTTTGTCTTGTTCTTATTAAGAATACATCTTGATATATTTGAAATGCGAATAGAATATACACTCACCGCGACTAAAGCTGCTAATCTATCCTTGGTCATGCTGATGGATGACGAGGCGTTGCGAGTCAGCGGATGTACGGTGCAATCAACCTAGCGGGTAATCCCATTCACGATTTCATCCATGTACGACGAGCACGGCCACTAAAAACTAAAGGAAACGGACGCACTAGTCGCGAGAGACACGATCGCAAAATCGATACACTCGCGAACTCGCCTGCTTCTGCAGTGCCGTCCGATGACGTGCGCTTGCGCCGATTACGTCAGCACGCTTCAGGAGCGTACCTTTGAAATTGCACTTATCCCATACCCGTTCGATGACATTACGTTTTATTCAGCTTTTTTTTTTGTTCTTTTTTCTAAAATTTGCATTTCTACAAATTTTTCCTTCTTTCTGGCAAAATTATCTAGTTGAATTTTATAACGATTGTGTAAGTATTTTTATATATATTTTTGTATCGTCTATACGAATTGTTTATTTGAAATAATAATGATTACGTTGACTGTGATATTATCGGTTGAATAAAACGTTTAGAAAAGAATATTCTATTATTTCCGACGTGTGACAATATATTAATAAATAATTGAAATATTATGACATACTATATAGTTAAAGGTACCTGAGGAATGTTAAATTCTGATTGGTTGCTTCGATGCATAGCAAGACGAGGAATGCGATTGAAATTGAATACTTATATGAGTAAGAGTTGTACATCACTGATGCATCCTGTTGAAACTGACCAATAGCATTAGACGATACGTGGCGCTCTCTGAAGTTAAATTTGAATAATTAAAAAACATAGAGTATAAATTCTAATACTAAAAGCTATGATAAGAGGAACCATAGAATGTATAATATTTAAAAAAGTATTTTTTCTTTAACATTTTTTTGACAACGAATAATAAATATCACAACGAATACGAACAAATGTTTGCTTACCTTTCTAATGCTATTCATCTTTTTCAAAAAAATAATATCATAATCGTTATTTTACGAAAATAAATCGAATAAAAACGATTCTATGCCCGTTATAAAACTGTCTTTTCTATTTTTATCTTCTCCATCGTGTTATTCCAAAATGAACACTGTCATTGTTGCATCCACTCATCGTGATGGCGTAGTACGTTACGTGTTCGAAGATGTCGCTTTTTAAAAAACGCATTTCTGTAATATCTCTATCGAATAATATATTTATCGTATTTTATTTAATCAATTAAACGTAATGAAAATTAATATTGAATTTTTGTCGATCGATTGATGTAAAAATTAGTTGTAAGTTTGTCCTAAAATAATTCAACGAATGACAAGGAAGACAGGATGCACCGCTCGTCGACTTAAAGGAACGCCATTGTGAGCCATAACGACTGTGCCGCACGGTAAGTTCTATCGGTCATTTTCACGTACATCGTTGCTTCCCGGGAAATTTTGTACGAAAAACATTGGTAAATTTAATCAGGAACGAGGACAAATTAAATATCCTGTTATATATAACAAACATTTAATCATTAAATAACGGTAAGAAACATCTAATAAGTTAATAAAAAATAGTCTTATACGTATTACAACTTTGGGAGCCATTCTTTGTGAAACACGAATTCTAATCTCCGCGTGTTGGAGTGTAAGAAAGAGAGGGAAAAAAGGGATAGAGAAAGAGTAAGAGAGAGTCTCTAGATTAGGTGAAACGTGTTAGCGCGGGACGTTGATCTAACCGGCATTTTTTCGTATAAATTGGAACGATTTTATTCCACCGAATTTGTTTCTTCACCATTTTTAATATATCCCCGAGGTATCCAACGCTTATTCAAATTCATCGATCACATCTTCGACTCCGATATTCGAAGGTGATTACGAATGTTCGTGTGTAACGCACGTTGCTACAAAAATCATACGAGATCTTCTATTCAAAGATATTTTTAGATTATATTTCATCGTTGTGTATTACATTATTTTATTCTTATTAATATAACAATACTTTAACCGCGATTAAAAGTCACCTAAAGTTACTTTTTTTTGCGTAGAAGATTACCGCATTGTAGGCAACGTGTTCTCTCAAGTTCATCAAATATTGCATTAATATCGATTGTTAATATGTAACATTTACATTGAATTTACGTTTAATAATGTTAATTGTTAAATATATTTTCATCGTTAACGATTGTAATCAGTTTATATAATTAATAATATAGATTAACAATATTTTTTCATACGGTTATATTTCAGATCATTTCTTTTAAATATATTATTTGGATATAATTTTGGAGTCATCAAATATGGCTTTAAATCATCAAGAACATGAAATTCCTACCTTCAAGTGCGTCCTTGTTGGTGACGGTGGAACTGGAAAGACAACTTTTGTCAAACGCCATTTAACCGGTGAATTTGAAAAAAAATATGTTGCAACATTAGGAGTAGAGGTTCATCCACTGATATTTCACACAAACAGAGGTCCCATAAGATTCAATGTATGGGATACAGCTGGTCAAGAGAAGTTTGGCGGTTTGCGAGATGGATATTACATCCAAGGACAATGTGCTGTAATAATGTTTGATGTTACGTCTAGGGTGACGTATAAGAATGTACCTAACTGGCACAGAGATTTAGTTAGAGTTTGCGAAAATATACCCATTGTATTGTGTGGTAACAAGGTTGATATTAAGGATAGGAAAGTAAAGGCTAAAAGCATCGTCTTCCATAGGAAGAAGAACCTTCAGGTATAGACATTTTCTTTTTACTCATAAGATTATACCTGAATTGAATCTAACTTTAAATTTAAAACGTTAGATATAATGTGAACTGTGATGAGTCAGAGGTCTTAATTAGTTTTTGAAGACACTTATCTGTCCCTCTAATCTGAGCCCAAAATTTTCGAGAAATTTCACTTTAGTTCTATTATTAATTTATATAGCTATCTATATTTACGTGTTTATTTTTCATAATTGTTACAGTACTATGATATTAGTGCAAAAAGCAATTACAATTTTGAGAAACCATTTTTGTGGTTGGCACGCAAATTGATTGGAGATCCAAATCTTGAATTTGTTGCAATGCCTGCACTTCTTCCTCCAGAAGTTACAATGGATCCACAATGGCAGCAACAAATTGAAAAGGATCTTAAGGAAGCGCAAGAAACGGCATTGCCAGAAGACGATGAGGATCTTTAGGTTATTACACTGTGTGCTTGGTTCTGATGGAAGAAAGATTTTGCGAGTGTACCTTGAGTACTATGCAGCTTGGGCGTTTTACATATATGAAGATTTAAAACAAAACAAAAATAATGATATCTGCATGCAGAGCTTAATTTGATACCTAATGCAAATCACCAGAAATACTTCTGTGACTTCATATACCAGAAATATTGCCTTAAAGGGGGAGATACTAATAAATTATTATAATTTCTTACACATCCATGCACATATTACTACATGTGTATATGAAATATCAAAGAATATGATTTTATATAATATAACACTAGTTACAAATTTCTATAAGTGTATCTTGTCATTCCTTTATAACTTCCATTACAAAGAACTACTGTAAAATTTCTAATGAAAGCAAATCTTTAATTGTGAGAAGTATTTTGAAGGGATATACATAAAACACACGTAAATGTTTAAAAAAATTAGTTGTATATCTTATATACTTATTACCCTATTATTATCATCTAATATATATAATATATATTTATATATATAATATCAGAATACGCGTTAAACCGAAGTTTCAAATTAGAACCCACTTTAAGGCATACTTAAAACATTCATTCAATCTGCTAATTATATTGTTGCAACATCCTTGTTATGAAATACGAAAGATGAACTGCCAGTTTTCTAAATGAATGTATGTGTTGATAGCGAATGCTCGGCTGCAAAGATGTGTACTTGTAATTTTTCTGAAGTGTGCAAACTTCTTACATGAGATGTTTATATGCTCGAGAGAAATCGCAGGTAAAATAATGGAAGTAGAATAAATTTTGGTCAATGTAGTTAATCTAACTTCAATCAAATTTTTTTTTCTCTTTTTTTTTTGTTGTAAAATGTTGGATAATATCAAACACTAAATAATAAAAGATGATTAAGTTTTAGTCATTCTTGTTAATAATTTGTAATTACGTTATTAGTAGTGTGTACGATATCTTATTAAAATGAAAGTTATATTAAATATCATTTGCAATGATTCAAGATTAAACTAAAATTAATTAATAATTAGGAATGATAATGTCTCGAAAATATTTCATTCGTTTATTCAAAAGTGTTTGTTTGGTATTATCAAGCATTTTAAAAAAAAATAATATTTGAAAACTGTTTCAAGTATGATGTCACATCGCAATAGGAAAAATATTTAAACAGGAATGAAACAGTTCGTGTCTGCTCGCGTTAACGAGGATCGTTTACTATTTTTGTAAGAGAAGGTGAATGTATGATTTGTTCAACTTAAATTATATAAACAGTGTTTTCCTTTTCTACGTATGAATATTTGTTTGTTTGTGCCCCTTGTTCCTATTAATGAAACCTGTCTGGAAAGAAATGCGTCTGGAAGTATGAAGAAAAACAATGATTACGAAGAGAATGCATACACAATCTTATTTATTAGTAAGAAAGTGTTATACTAATTAAAAGCAGATTGTACTGCTAATTGTATGAATCGAATAAATCTACCTTTGTCGAAGTTTTAGAAATTGCCTATATTGCAATAGTATTTAATTATTAGTAAATTGATTATATTTTTACATAACTAAGGTCTGTATGCACAGCGTTAACAGAAGAATTTCTGGAAATACCGCGAATAGTTACAATTACATAATTTATAATTTATATAACTGGCTTATTGAATAATAGAGTAATGAATATACTCAAAATTAAAGGACATTAATGAACATTTTATTTCTATATCTATAGTATAATCTATTCTTATTTATACGTGGTATTGCGTCTCACACTCGGCTTATAAAACACTTTAATGATATAAGAAAATGCAAATAATGTAAATCAAGAGGGGCTACCAAAGGAATTTATGCAAGTACATATATGAGATATAGACTAATAATAAAAATGTTTAAATGTTCGTTTGCGTAGCATAAATGGAGTTGTCCTTAGAATACAGTAAGTATTGTTTTTTTTTTTTATAATATGATCATATCAATTAGAATACCATTTATATATACTAATCTAAAATTTCTTTACTGTTTTTCCTCCTTTTTCTGTCTTTTCTTTTTTCCTTCTAAAATATTTACACGATCGTTTTCTGTTAGAGGTGGGAGAATATTCGTAATTACGCCAGTTCCTAAGGTTGTACTTCCATCCCGGAATGTAAATCGTTGACCTTTTTCACATACCATAGGACGAATCAATTTGATTTCAAATCTAAAGATGAAACAAGTTAACATGTTTTCATTATTTTATCAAAATCCTTTATTTAAACAAAAATAATTAAATAACTTACTTGCAATCTTCTCCTGGCATTGCCATTGCTTTATTGAATAAATTAACTTGCGCGGCAATATCCCAAGTTTTACAAAACATTTGCAATTGTGCAAGATTTCCAAGAGGTTTCTTTCTACCTCCTTCCTCTGGACTTAATACATATACTTGCGCCTCAAAATGATCATGAGCTTTCATAGAGCCTGGTTTACACATAATCATTCCTCTTCTAATATCTGTTCTTTTCAAACCTCTAACAAGAGCACCTAATTGATCACCAGCATGTGCTTCTTCTAATATTTGATGAAACATTTCAATACCAGTGATTACACTCTTTAAATTCTTATTGTATCCAATGAATTCACAATCCATTCCTTTCTTAATTCTTCCTCGTTCTAATCTACCAGTGACTACAGTTCCTCTACCAGGTATTGAATAAACTGATTCGACTGGTAATAAAAATGGTTTATCCAATTCTCTAATTGGAGTTGGTACATTATCATCTACTGCATCTAAAAGTTTTATAATAGACTCTGAACCAATTTCAGGATTTTTTCCTTCAAGAGCGCAAAGGGCACTGCCCTTGATGATAGGAATTTTTTCACCATTAAAGCCCATTTCAGTCAATAAATCACGTATCTCCATTTCAACTAATTCTACCATTTCTGAATCGGCAGAATCAACCTTTTGGAATAAAATGAACAATGTTAAGTGTACAGTGTCAAATGTTGAATTGTAAAAAGTAAAAATATGAATAAATCGTTATCATTACTTTGTTAATAAAGACAACGATATGCTCGACTCCAATTTGTTTAGCAAGAAGTAAATGTTCTCTGGTTTGAGGCATGGTACCATCAGTAGCTGCTACGACTAAAATAGCTCCATCCATCTGTGCAGTACCCGTAATCATATTTTTAATATAATCGGCATGTCCTGGACAATCCGTATGTCCATAATGACGTTTCTCTGTTTGATATTCGATGTGTGCTACATTTATGGTTATACCACGAGCTTTTTCTTCTGGAGCATTGTCAATTTCACTGTAACCTTTAGCTTTAGCTAATTGCTTTTCAGAAAGAACTGAGGAATTAAAAGAGATTTATTTGGTTATCATATATCACGTACTTAATTAATATAATACATATTAGTGATAATTAGATTGTAAACCTTTAGTAATAGCAGCAGTTAACGTAGTCTTTCCATGATCGACATGGCCTATTGTTCCAACATTACAATGAGGCTTATCTCTGCTAAATACTTTTTTCTCTGCGTAAAATCTTTGCCCAGTTATAGTTGGTAACAGCAATTGGTCACATAGCTTATTGTGTTGCTGTTATCGATATAAAATAATAATGAAGACATATATCCATAAATATAAATAAAAGAAATATAATATTGTAATTAAATGAAATATATTTACTTACACATTTAACAATGTGCCGACTAAAATATACATGTTTGATGCTATGTCTGAAAACTAAAGATAAATGGAACAAAAATAAGGGAGAGTTCGTACAATTGTTTATATATATAAAAAAAAAGAAGAAAAAATATGTAGTCATTTGTAAAAAAAAATGATTACAGCATCTTTATCAATAGTCGTAATTTACCTGGAGTAAAAATCTCTCTAACAGAGATTAATGCCATGATTTTCAATAACCTTTATAATCTTCTGCAATTTTCAGTTGTTAATGCCTAACCACACGTGTTGTAAAAACAGATCTTCATTCTTATGTAACGAACATGTAGTTCCATTTGATTTTCTAATTCGTTTGAGTGCGTATGATTCAGCCAATCAGTTTATTCGAAGATACTTCGTTTAGTAAGCTTGTTTCTGATTGGTATTCTCGTTGCACGATGCATTGAAAATGCACTTATAGTCAATTTTATACTTTTATAAATATTATTTATTTATTTTTATTTTCCCTAACGATTACATAAATTAAATAAAATATTTATCATTTTGTATAGAAGGATTAATATTTTCGAAAATGTACATATGCATATAATAACTATTATATTTTTGATCATTCACACCGGAAGTTTTACAAGTAGAGACATAACGTTACCCGGTAATATTCTAATCAATTCTAATACATTACTTTAATATTATTTCTTCTTGTTTCTATTTAAAACATATAATGA